AAACTCAGGAAACTACAGATGTAACATTCCCAACATAAACCCGTCCATGTAGTCAACGGTTAACTCAGGAAACTACAGGTGTAACATTCCCAACATAAACCCATCCATGTAGTCAAGGGTTAACTCAGGAAACTACAGAGGTAACATTCCCAACATAAACCCGTCCATGTTGTCAAGGGTTAACTCAGGAAACTACAGATGTAACATTCCCAACATAAACCCATCCATGTAGTAAAGGGTTAACTCAGGAAACTATAGAGGTAACATTCCCAACATAAACCCGTCCATGTAGTCAACGGTTATCTCAGGAAACTACAGATGTAACATTACCAACATAAACCCATCCATGTAGTCAATGGTTATCTCAAGAAACTAAAGATGTAACATTCCCAACATAAACCCGTCCATGTAGACAACGGTTAACTCAGGAAACTACAGATGTAACATTACCAACCTAAACCCGTCCATGTAGACAACGGTTATCTCAAGAAACTAAAGATGTAACATTCCCAACATAAACCCGTCCATGTAGTCAACGGTTAACTCAGGAAACTACAGATGTAACATTACCAACCTAAACCCGTCCATGTAGACAACGGTTATCTCAAGAAACTACAGAGGTAACATTCCCAACATAAACCCATCCATGTAGTCAACGGTTATCTCAGGAAACTAAAAATGTAACATTCCCAACAAAAACCCATCCATGTAGTCAACGGTTAACTCAGGAAACTAAAAATGTAACATTACCAACATAAACCCGTCCATGTAGTCAACGGTAAACTCAGGAAACTACAGATGTAACATTACCAACCTAAACCCGTCCATGTAGACAACGGTTATCTCAAGAAACTACAGAGGTAACATTCCCAACATAAACCCGTCCACGTAGTCAACGGTAATGTCAGGAAAATAAAGATGTAACATTCCCAACCAAAACCCATCCATGTAGTCAACGGTTAACTCAGAAAACTACAGATGTAACATTATCAACATAAACTCATCCATGTAGTCAACGGTAAACTCAGGAAACTACAGATGTAACATT